CAGAGATGGGCAAAGTGGCTCCCAGGTGGCCTTTTAAACTTAGGAGCCGGCTTGGCACATTTAGATGGTAGATGTGGGGTAACATCAAGAGCCAGCATGAAGGGGTATTAAGAGCGTATTCAAATTTCTTGTATTTCGACTCTCATTACAAATATATATTATGTTTTTTTAATGTATTTTGTACACCCCGTTTACCCTGAGAACCAATTTACCTCTTGCGTAGCACTTGCTGGCTCTTTGACTGCAAACAATCTGGCCATCCCTGCTCTAGAATGCACAACGTCAACAATGTATAAAAATATGCTTAGGCAAATTTATGTTCTCCCTAAAAATCATTTTGTACAGACATAATTCATATATTGCCCATATTACTTTTGTTCATAGTTAATGCATTTTAAAATATAATAAATTACATATAAACTCATCAATTTGATGGCCATCTTCTATGCGCCTGCGTCCGTAAATGTACCTCTATAGATGTGGATGGAGGTGTAATTGGCGGAGCCAGTGCGGTTATTGTTGCCCTCGGCTCGGAGCAGCAATAAAACGAGATAAATATAATACAAAAGAGCATCGAAATCGTGATTATAATGCGCGCAAATTTACGTGCAAATGCGATCAGACCAAGCAGGTATCCACCTCCCGCAACACCGCCCTTATCAAGAGTAGATTCATCGTAATCGAAACCATCACCGCCGATAACTTCTTCAAAATCGCTACAGTCAACTTCGCTGTCGGGAGCATTGCTGCTGCCATGACCTCGTCTACGCAACCTATCTGCGGCTGTGGGTGCCAGTAGGTGCTGTTTGGTCAAATTGCATTTTGTAAGTAAATATTATAGATTCCGCCCAGGACAGTTGCCTGCAACTGCAGCGCTGCATTCCTCCTCGCCGATGCATCCGGACATGCGATTCAATTGCGTTTTCCAAAGATAGACAACCGCTACACACAGAGCCAACAAAAAGACGAGCGTAATGCATTGCAGAATTTGTGTAAACCTTAACTGGCTCTCCAGGAGCTTGGCGTGTGAAGAAAGCTGGCGAGGGAAGAAATATAAAACAATTGAGTAGATTGAGGATAGTAGGTAGTGTGTTACGACTTGTAAAATGCATCCAAAATAATAATTTAATAAAATTATAGTTTAAAAAACTAAAACCTCCCTATTATAATTGCCATTCGTACTGTCATCATAATAATATTTTTTCGCTTACACTTTAGCAAAGTGTTTGGCCGAGTTTCTTCTTCAACTTATGTTGTGTGCCTCGATGTTGTTACACAAATGGAGGGACCCCCACTTTCAAGCCACTTTAGAACGGCAAATGGATCTTAAGAGAAGCTTTTTCAAGGCAAGGCAAGGGCATGACAACCGGGTGCATTTTATTGTTGTAATGTTACAAATGCAACGAATATGCAAATGCTGGAGCATATGCAAAATATGCTGAACAGCCATAATACGTAAGCCTTTTTTACCTAAACCTATATATTTTTGATAAAAGAATTTTACTATTTATTAATTAATAAGTTATATTTAAATATATACAGTATAGACCAATACAATAGCACACCCATTTCAAATTGATATTGTTTCCCGCTCATGTTTATTTATTTATTTTTAGGAATTTTCAATCGAAATACAGTTCATTCTCTGACAAAACCCATATATGTAACCCCAAGTTTAAAACTTCGCAGCCAACTGCAAAAACTGCTACAAATTTTCACCCAAATGTCAAACTTTTTTCTCAGAAGTGTTAGAATAGTTTTGAGTACATAGTTTTATAGCCCATTTAACGTTGGTCTAATAATGTGCAAGTTTCAAGTGGCTAAAAATTACCGTTAATTATTAGAATTTTTTTAGCCGAAGGTGTTGCGGGTTAAATATAAAAATAAACTGTAATTATTCGTTATATGGAAGCAAATGCGACAAAAAAATCACCGGAAATTTTTAGTCACTTGAGACTTGCACATTGTTAGACTAAAATTGAATGGGCTATAAAACTCTCTTCTCAAAAAAATTCTAAAACTTCTGAGAAAAGTTTGAAATTTGGATGAAAATTTGTTGAATTTTTTGTAGTCCCTTACAAAGTTTTAAACTTGGGCTTATATGGAAAATTAAACATAAGTGGCAAAAAACATTACTTTGAAATGAGGGTACTATAGATATGACAAATACTGTATATAGGCACATGCTTATATCGCACACAGTCTTCAAAAGAGTCACAACTCAAAATAATACGTTTGTCAGAAAATGCGAAAAACTATTTCTTAGCACATGGGCAAGGGCGACTTTACCTTAGGTTTTTTTTTTTAACAAATTATAACAAAGATTTACTCCAGCTTTTGCTGAAAGGTAAACAAAAGCTCTGCGTACATTTTTAGCGCATAATCTCAAAAATGCCAAATTTTGAGTTGTGACTTTTTTGAAGACGGTGTGCGATATATTACTATATTACATACAAAAGCGATTGCAGTCTAATTTCAGAATTTTCCAGCAACTTTACCACTACCACTTGACTTAACTTCAAAGCTTTTGTGAGATGAGCTATGCCAATTTATTTATTTGCTCTCAATTTGCATAGTGCCCGTTGCAAAGTGACATGCTTTAAGGCGGATTCAACGTTCTGGCACTAAATTAAAGCTGAAGTTGAGTTAACTCAAAAACGTTCAGAACTTTTTTCAGTTGCTCTTCCAGAGAGAAGCACAATAACAACAACCACATGGAATAAAAAAGTTCTGAACGAGAATGATGAATTCATCAGTTCAGAACTTTTCCCCCATGTCGTTGTTGTTGTGTTTTTCTCTGTGGGAGAGCAACTTAGAAAAGTTCTGAACGCTTTTTAGTTGTGAAATCAATTTCAACCTTAGTTCACAACTAGAACGATGAATCGGCCTTAACTTTCAAACTCACTAAGTTCAAGAACGACTTAATCATTTGTAAATCTGATTTCAATCTGCAAATTACGTAGTTTGATAGGCGAGGACAAGACGAACCCGCTGCTGGTGGCAGAGGAAGAGGGAATCCCCCCCCTGCGATGAAAAGACCAGGTGGAGAAGGACTTGACTTCACTTGGCATTTCCAATTAGCGTCAGTTGGCACAGATGACAAACGACTGGTGTGCTTTGTTGAACTCGGCCAAAATCGCTTAGGCGGTTACAGCGCCAAATAAAAAGAAGAAGATAGGCGAAAGTACTCACATCCAAAATAGTGTTGGAACCCTTTCCCGATGCAATCCCTTCATCCGGGCCACCAATACGCCCTCCAGCCTGCCCACAGACGCATTGACCCGGTGTACTTGCACCACTTGCACTGCCTCTGTAATTACAGGTTAGACGATGCTGCTCCATATCACCGCCACTAGGAGGCTTTAGCTTCCACACTTCGCTCATGCTCTGCTGTGATGGCTCAATACCAACAGGTGCTGGCATACACATCACGAGAAATTTATCTTTCGGCGATTCACCCAAATGGTAGTCCTGCTTCAACATAATGCTAACTGACACTGTCTCAGACGGTGATAAATAGCCGCAACGAGGACGTACCCGAAATTTTTCCGGTGCTGTTGTTTGAATCTGAATGAGAATAAAAGTAAATTAGAAAAATATGTATATGTATGTACAGTGAACAAAATAAAAACTGGGACGCGACATTTAAGTGAGTTTTGCCTATTTTTAACCGACTTCAAAAAAGGAGGAGGTTATCAATCCATCGGATTTCTTTTTTAGGTTTGTATGTTACCGCATAACTTACCACTCTAACAGATTTCTATAGTTCTTTTTTTTAAAGGAGAGGTGTTACCTCACAGGAGGTCCCATAGTAATTTGGTCTAAATCCGATCACTGGATCGATCATGAGGAAATTAAAGATAATCTTAAATTTGTATATGACAATTGGTCAGTTTTGTTTTTTGATTAAAAATTACTTGCTCTTTAGTTTAAGTAATGTTTATTACCTTTCTATACTTAGCAAACGCCATGTAAATCCAAAGTACATAATATGTATATTATGCTAGATTTCCACTCGGCTTGAAATGGCAAAAATGACAAATGACAAAGTTGGGCATTAAAAAATAATCGTGTCAATACGTTAAAAAAGTAGTCATTAAGTTCATTTACACATGGCATTTTTTTAAATGACATGCATTTTTTGTCATTTCCATACCTATACCATGACCTTCATATTGCGTCAGCTATACTTTCACAAAAAATAATAAACATTAAATAAACTAAAGAAAAATGGCAAAACCTTGCTAAAATGTCGCGTCCCAGTTTGTTTAGTTCACTGCATGTATTTATTTATTTTTTTTTTTGTATAAAGGTACTGACTTTGTAGGTAATCGGCTGCTTTCCAATGCAAGTGAGATCAATTACACTTTCGCTGTTCTCGCCCCGGTTGAAGTATATGTTGTCGTTAGGTGAAATCCGCAGCATAGCGCCTAATGATTGAGAATTTTTTATTTAATTTTAATTAGTAAGTATACACTTATAAAATTTTATTTTAAATTTTTACAAATTTTTTTATATATATATATTTTTTTTACTTTGAAGTTATAAGCAAAAGTGAACAGTTCAAATTTGGTTGTGATTTTGGTAAACTTCTTTCTATTTTTTTTATAAAGGGTAAGTAAAGCCAGAAAGTTAATTAGTTTTTCAGTTAAAAGCACTTCTTCTGATTGAGTTCGAGATATTTGTATGCTTTAAATGTTTTGTAATTAACTCCACTCACTTGCTGCGTCCAGGCTTTGATAACCACGTTCACATTCTGGCATTTCGGATCCGGCGTACATTCGGTTGTTGTTGGCAAAATGCACCTAAAGAAAAATACATATAGATAAATTTCAAGAAAAATCAGTTAACAAAATTAAATGCAAGCGGATAAATTCTTTAAACAAATTTCGATATAAAAAAATTGGTCGGGGAATTGAATTACACTTCAATTACCCACCAAGTCTACTGTCGAAACAATAATGCTGAAAGATTGAATATTGAAGGCTTGCGGTCCAATTTAGAGAATCAATTTTATACATATGTATGTAAGTACGTACCATATACACACATTAATATGTACATATGTACACACAAGGATTTAAGCGGATGAGGAGAGTATGTACTAAGCTTTCATTTTTTATCTATCATTTTACGCCTTACAATTTTTCATATAAGTATTCGATGTCTTCTAGCCTTTTTAGTTCAATAATGAACAATGAACTCTTGTCGTTTGTATTGAGAGCTCTCAAACGCCTCAATTAAACGCTTACACTATCTATTTTTGTATTAGGTGGGTTGGTTGGTGCATTTCTGTTTTTTTTTTGGTTTTTTTAAGTTACAAATAATGTATGTTATTTCTTGCCTACAAACCATGCAAGAAAAAATACATTCATTTATAGTTAGTTGAGTGGAAGATCACCTCATCTCAGAATTTGGTTCGGAAACGCCCTTCTCGATCAGCCTTATCATGAGTTTCATTTTCCCCAAACCGGTTCACTTTTCACTTTTGGTTTCCATGTATTTAATATGGGCGGAATACAAATTTTTGGGCGAAACAGGAACAGAAAACAGGATAAGGCAGAATATAAATTCAAAACATATCGGCAGCTGAGATAGGAAGTTTTTGAACCATTTGCGTTCCTCAACCCAATTCCGAAATAGGGCGTTTTTTCTACTGTTTGCTGAGATAGGGCGCTGATGCAGAAATATTCCTAGAGCATCTAGATGCATTTCTGCATCAAAAAGAAAATTTTGAAAAAAATGTCGCTTACGTTATTTTGGCGGTTAGGGCTCGATATGTTGTTGTTTTGTCAACTTTGACGTAAAAATCTGCAAAGTTTTTTAATTTTTCATCCGATAAATGGATGAAAAGAAAAATGCATTTGGTCACCTTATTCTATTTTAGTTGCGAATTGCACTAATTTTCTATATTTACATAAATTCAAACATATGCATGCATATTTACTATGCGTGTGCGCTTCCATAAATTATAAAATGTACATACATACACATCGTCCTTTAAAGTACAAAACCGCGTATCAACAAAATGCAAAACCGCGCATGTGGGGTTGCATAAATTATTTTCTATAGTAAAAACACTGGTATTTAAAAATGGTTCTCTATTTTATAAAGCAATCGCATTTCTGGCTAGTATATTTAAGGACGAATGGATAAGGATTGAGCCAAGAGCTTGTGTGAGCAAATCCAATTTTTGGCAGCAAATGTCAGTTACGCGGTTTTGCAGAATGACGATACGAGGTTTTGTACTTTAAGCGACGATATGTATGTATGTATATGTATACATAGTTCCCAAATGTAAAATGTAAAATTAATAAACAAACCGGTACCAATTCTTTATTGTCTGCAGCTGTTGGGATAGCAGCAACGTAGAACTGCGCAAAATGAATTAGTTTAATTCAATTCCTGATTGTCGAGACTGGCTTTTCACTTTGTATAAGTGAATATTTGGCATATAGTTAATTTTGCCAGATATTTTTTAATAAATATACTAAAAAACTACACAAATGACAAGAGAAAAATGTTGCAGCAATAAATAATTTACACCTCCCTTTTCATGGTGAATTACTACCAGCTGTTAGCACTTTGAACCAGTGTTGTCAAAGCACTTTTTTCCCACCAAAACCCCAACCACCAAATATTTTTTAGATTTTACTTTTTTCGTTGGCAAGTTTATTAGAAATGTAGATTACATAACATTTAGTGAATCTAAAACACAGCTAATAAACTAAAAAACAAATTAGCAACGCATAAAAATTCATTTTACTGTACAGACTTAAGAGCCTGTCAGACGTGGCAATATTTCCGTCTTGCGCACGCAATTCGCTGTCAAATTGAGAAAGAGAAATTTTATTTCGATGTGTGAACAGCCAGAAAGATCTTTTTGTCACTTTGCGGAAATCAGTTTCAGAAATAAGAGTTGCAAGGTGTGACTGCAACTGCAAGAGCGAATATCGATTTCGGAAATATATTTCAACTTGCTCGTGCTGCACTAGCAATTTTTATTTCTTCCGCAAGTGTTGTCAAACTAATCGAGTGTTGCCATGTGGTACTGATCGTGAATTTGTGTAAAAAGATACAAAATATTGTTGAATTAAATATCAAAAATGCTTGAAATATATTATTTTGCTTAATATACTTAATCGTTGAATTATTGTTTTTCAACAGCAGCTTACGTCGAGTATTCATTTTTCGCGTTTTCGTTCTCGCTTTTACAAGAGTAATAGCAACCAAACGAACCCCACCGCCCATGGTTGCATTTTGTATCGAGAAAGATTGCCAGAAACTCATTCGCTGTGTGAATAGCCAAAAAGCGATTTCAGAAATTTTTCCTGAAATTCGCCTTTCGGAAATAAAAACCTCTTTCGATGCAAGGTGTGACTGCTCATGCAACCGATTTCTCAATTTGACTGCCTTTCCGAAATTTATTGCTACGAAATATATTGCCACGTCTGACACGCTCTTTAGAGTACAACTCCACAACCAGCTTTTCAAGCGTTTGGCGATTTTCTGGCTTCAGATTTTTAAGATTACAACTCCACAACAAGATTTCGAGGCTTTCCGCGATTTGTTTTTTTATGTGTTAATTATCTCAAATCGAACTTAGGGCCGGTTGTTCAATGTCTGGTTATCACTATTACTACACTATCGACGATTTCGACATCATGCATGTAACATGTGATCGATAAAGCAGTAGTTGTGCTTAACCGGAGCTTCTACCTCCGATTTGCGCTAATCAGACATTGAACAACCGGCCCTTAACCACATCACTTATACCATGTCCCCACCGGAGCTAACCACGTAGTTATGGCTGTTGAGTTGCGTTATCCCGATAATCCACTTGATTTAGCGTAGTTTCGCCATATAAAAATGACAGCACTTAACCATTTCACTGAGATGGTTAAAAGCTAACCAACTCGAAACCATGTCGAGAGTCTGATACAACCCTGTGTTTTACCGCCATCTGTGGGTCATTAGCGTTAAAATGTAAAAAAATTCGTTCCCTACTAATGTTTGGACTCCACTAAGATCAGATTACATTTACTCCGGTTTTTGAAAAAATTTGAAATCTACTCCTCTACTCCGCTTGAATTCAAATTTATTCCGTTTTTTTTTTTTCATTCATGTTATGCGATAGCACGTATCTAACGGGTGATTTTTTTGAGGTTAGGATTTTCATGCATTAGTATTTGACAGATCACGTGGGATTTCAGACATGGTGTCAAAGAGAAAGATGCTCAGTATGCTTTGACATTTCATCATGAATAGACTTACTAACGAGCAACGCTTGCAAATCATTGAATTTTATTACCAAAATCAGTGTTCGGTTCGAAATGTGTTTCGCAAACCCAATTGCTGCGAACGGCGACGAATCGACATTTCACGGTCTTCAGCAACACTCTCAGAAACAGACGCAATATTCTCTTCTGTACGCACTGTACGCATTCGTGTGGTTGGTTTAATGTCCAATAAAGTAAACTGAGTGCGAAACTTGGTCACAATCGCATTAATTGTTTGCTCACTTGGTCGATTATGTAGACCATAAATCGGACGTAAAGCGAACCGAACACTGATTTTGGTAATAAAATTCAATGATTTGCAAGCGTTGCTCGTTAGTAAGTCTATTCATGATGAAATGTCAAAGCATACTGAGCATCTTTCTCTTTGACACCATGTCTGAAATCCCACGTGATCTGTCAAATACTAATGCATGAAAATCCTAACCTCAAAAAAATCACCCGTTATGTATGTAAGTACATATCTACATATATTTTACATATATGTACATACATAACTTACGTACAAACATACATACATATGTATGTGCCATTCTACAGATTATTAAATTTGTTCATACACTCAAGGTCAGAAAATGCAAATTAACGCCGTATTTATTATTATTCTAAAGAATTTTTGCTTTGGAGCATAACCATGATCACATACCCTGGGCATCTTGAACAGAATATTAATGTCGTATATGTATGTCTATATGGATTTAAGTATTTTGCTACAGGTTTCCGTATTCTAGCTACTCCACACAACAGTTGGTTGGTTGTTGACTGATTAGCACTCCAAGAGACGTGAATAGGTATTAATTCATTTTCGTTATATGGAAAGTTCCTATGTATGTATGCATGTATCTATGTGTATCTTTGCATATAACTTTAACTTAAAATGTTGTTGAAAATGGTTAAAAGAAGACTTTTATCACTTAAGATGTTGCCGATCGCGTCATGTGTATGTATGTATGTATGTTCATTTGCACTTTCTAAAATCTCTGTCTGCTGCCACTGTTAAATGCAAAACTGTTGAATTCATTTGAAAAACGCACTGGCAATCGCAAAATATAAACAAGTCCACAATTATTTATACAAAAGAATTATTAGAAACAGTATCCATAAGTACGTATGGCTGTTTATTTGTATCCATATGAATGTACAGATTAACGACAGACAGCTAATGCCAGCAGCGCGGCAACCAAAAATCAACTGAAAACGACAATCGACATTCAAAGCGGCGGCAGTCGAGTCGCCAGTGACCAACATATTGAATGCCCATAAATATGTATGTATGTAAGTACACATGCACATATCCACTTATTTATATACATACATATTTACGTTCAAAATATATACAATCCACTCCATATAGCCGCGAAAGCAATAAAAACGAAAGGCAAGAAGCTCCAAACGCCAAAACAACAATAACAATAACTTAGGCAGCGCCAACAATACTAACGCTTCGGTGGAATTGTTGCAACAACAATAAAAATATAAATTTTATTTACCCACATACATATGTATATATATATATATATACATATCTACGAGCAGTGTTGCCACGGAGTAATTTTTTTTCCGCGTCTTCCAACTCACGTCACTGTTGACAGTTATAATTTCGAGGAAGTAGAGAATTTCGTTTACTTGGGAACCAGCATTAACACCGATAATAATGTCAGGATAGAAGTCCAACGCAGAATCGCTCTAGCCAGTCCATTTCAGGAATTCTGTCCTTGAAGGGTTTGTAGAAGAATAATTTGGCATCATCCAGAAATGGCTTGAGAACCTCCAAATTACCCCGAAGATCTCCTTTTTTCATGCTTTCGGTAAATGGGACAATGGTGGAATTCATTAAGTTTATGTGCAAGCCCTTTCCAGCACACAACTATATATTCCTGTAAACAAGGTTGCTAAAATGTTTGCAGATACATATTTTCTATTTTTCGTAAATAACTGTTAGTGTCGCGGAACCTACCAAAACCCAATCTAGCCTACCAACCTACAAAATGGAAATAAACCTACCAGTCTTGGTAGGAAAAGCGCAGATGTGGCAACACTGCATACGACTATGTATAGTAAATACAAAAGCAGCGTAGCCCAGCTGTAAAAGCTTTTATGTACAACCACCTGGACACTGGTGCGATTCTTCTTTTCCATTGGCATTCCATAAAACAGGGGAGAAAGTGCGTAACCTATTAGGTTGATCCAAAACTTCAGTCTCTGGTTAAAAAAAAAATTCTTTATCCCTTTTCTAAAAAATTGATTCAAAACAGATGTTACACGCATTAAGATTCTTATCGTCCCATGTATCTTAAATGAGGAAAATTAATTTTTTTCTTACAGTTGCTATAAAATCATTAAAAACAAATATTTTTTTGATCGAATAATAATAACGGGGTTCCTTTTTTCATTTTCCATAATTCTAAGGGGCGGAAGCAGAAAAATTACAGAAAGTAATTTTTTTCCTGTGTATTCTCGGACCACCCTAATGTACATATCATCCCGTTTCCTCGTTGACCTCGAATTATTTACTTCATCATTACTAGTGGGAACCCAAATTTCAATTTGATAAGATTTGACTACTTGGTATAGATTGGATCCGCATGAAATTAAACAGTAATAACACTGGTCTACAAGGGTTTTGCGAATAAGACGGGACCTGGT